CAGCAGAATGGTCTAAGGGACAGAGGTTGCCAGAGTAATTAAAACACAACCACTTCTCCATTCCATTCTTCTCTGTACTACATGTCCTAAGAACACACAGAGCATCCTGCTGGGCTGGAGCTGCTGTCCTAAGTCTGTGCCAATATTCTGTCCCCAACAGTGGGAGCAGGAGATGCTATTGAGGAGGACCACACAAGTCTCGTCTCTTTCTGCAGTCCATGCCTCATCTCCTACCCTAGGGACGTTAGAAATGCAGCCTGTTCAGGCTCACCTTATATAAGACAGTAGCTTTGCTCCTTTCCAACTCAAAACTTTGTCCTTCATAAGATGCAGAGAACACGACAACATAGAGTACTGAGGCTGTGGATTCACCAAGGTTTTCTGGAGCTTCTTGTCCCATCATCCGTATGCCTCCTGGGAATGCCCAGGACTTTTTCAGACCTGGCAGCCACTGCACATCCGGCAAGGCAAACAGAATAAAGTTGGTTTCTAAAAAGTCTTAGCTTACATGCTGTCCTTACATGAGAAATTCGATGATGAAGGGGAGGACAGAGTGGTGGGAACAATCCCAACAAGGTGGAAGAGGAAGACAAACACACGCACACAAAATCTTACATGGTGACTGGTGATAAAGCTGTAGGGATGCATGCCTTACGGTCTTCTGCTTGCTTTCTCATGCACCCAAGGCCTTGCACTTGCCCTGCTGGAGCCACCTTTTCTCATCTAATGGTGCACCATTAGGCCCCCCAGTTTGCTTTCTGATGTCCTCAGATTTTGAGGTACTCTGTGGCCCCTGTTTGCATTTTGGTGTGCCCCAGAACCCTCAATTCACATTTTGGGTTGCCTCCGAGCACTCCATGTCCCTTCTGGTGAGCCTCAGGGCCCTGGTTTTCCTGCAGTGGGCAACAAAGTTTTTCCTTGAACTGTCTGCCCTGTCCCACCATTCCTGGTGTTCTCCACCATCAGCTTTTTTCCTCCTTGTTTGCCCCAGAGCCATGCTCTGCCTTTCTGTGCCCATCGCTCCAGGGAAGCCTGCCGAGGTGTCCTGGGGCAGGGGGCACATGGGGCCCTGAGTGCATGGCTGGGGGGGACTCAGCCTGGGGGGAGGTGGGGGGCTGGCGTCCCAGCAGGTGCCGGGTGTGGGGAAGACTGGGAGCTGCTGTCCTGGGGCACAAGGCGTCCTCTATCCATCTCCCTGTCCCTGTGTTTTAATTCTTGTCTATGTTTCTTGTACTCAGTTGTTTATTTTAAAATTCCTTCTATATCTCCCTCTATCCAGTTCCCTTTCCGGATCTTTTTTTTTTAATGCTTCACTGTATTTCTTGTACCCCATAGCTATTTAATTTCTCTTTCAAGAATTCCTTTTATCTGACTCCCCTTCCCTAAATTTTAATTCCTCCTTTTCTTCTGTATACCCTGTCACTTTTCTTCAACGTTTCCTTCTATTCTCATCCCTGTTCCTATCTTTTAATTCTTTCCTTTGTTCCTTGTACCCTATTTCTTTTACAGATTTCTTTCTGTCTTCCTCGATCCAATTCCCTGTCCCTAATTTTTTAATTCCTCCTTCTCCGTCCTGTACCCCATTGCTTTAAAAATTTTCTTTCTGTGTCTCCATTTCTTTAGCTTTCTGGCCTTTTTAATTTTTTTTCTGTCTATACTATCCTCTGTCAATTTTAAATTTTGTTTCTATGTTTTTTTATGCAGTTGACTGTCTTTATTTTCTAATTTTCTCCTGTCTGTCCTGTACCCCCTGCTGCTTCACTTCCCTTTGTCTACTTTTATTAAGCTCACTATCCATATTTTTTAATTTATTCCCATGTGTTGCATAGCCTGTTGCCTTTCAAATTTACTTTTATGTCTATTTTTCCCCTATTTGTATTGTTTAATTTATTCTTGTCTTTCCTTAAAGCCATTGCATTTCAATGCCCAAGTTTATCCACTTTGCTATCCCTCTTTTTTTGTTTTCCTACCTATCCTATATCTCAGTGCTTTTAACATTTTAACATTTTCTTTCCATGTCCACTTGAACCAACCACTCTCTTTTTTGTTCCTCAGCTGTCCTGTACCTCATTGCTTTGGGATTTTCTTCCTATGCCTCTCTATTTTTCTTTCTGTTCTTATTTTGTAACTTTTTCTTGTTTTAAAATTTTCTTTCTGTGTCGACTTTTATCCAGTTTTCTGTCCCCTTTGTAAATTTTTTTGTCTGTCCTGAACCCCCTTACCTTTTCACTTTTCATTCTCTACTTTTCTCAAGCTCCCTATCCATATTTTTTAATTTATTCCTGTGTGTTGTGTACCTTGTGACTTCAAAAATTATATGGCCCTGTGCTTTAAATTAAAAAAAAAATCAAATTTTCTTTCTTCTAGTTTGCTGTCCCTAATTTTTAATTTTTCCCTAATCCCCATCGCTTTT